TAGTTTAAAAAGCTAGGTTAAACATTCTTCAGGTTCCAAAGACAATTTTTGAACTTTAAGAAGTCAATTTTGCTTTCCCAAGACTAAAGTAACGTTTCTGTTCATCATTTGTAGACTACGACCTATCCACAACCACCAACAATAAAATACAGGTTCATTGTGAACAGTTTGTAAGAAATTAAAAAAAATTAAAAACTAAAATCACCAATAACCTATTTCCAGACATCATTTCTAATTTCTTTCCCACCTAGCAAAACTGGGATAATATGTATTACATTTTCTTCAATATTTTTTAAAGCTTAATATTTACAGTGAATATGTGCATAGTGCTGGCAATTGACCGTTGAAAATCATCTCTCTGATCTTATAAAAACGATGACAATAAGAGATTCTGTAAGATATCCTGTGTTGGGGCTGGCTCTGTAGTGCAGTGGGTAAGGCTGCCGCCTGCAGTGCTGGCATCCCATATGGGCGCTGGTTCGAGTCCTGGCTGCTCCACTTCCGATCTAGCTCTCTGCTGTGGTCCTTGGGTCCCTGCACCCACATGGGAGAAGCTCCGGGTTCCTGGCTTTGGATCAGCACAGCTCCGGCCGCTGTGGCCAACTGGGGAGTGAACCAGTAGATGGAAGACTTTTCTCTGCCTCTCCATCTCTCTCTGTGTAACTCTGACTTTCAAATAAATAAATAAATAAATAATTTTTGAAGATATCCTGTAGCTAAGATTCATCTCCTTTTTCTTTGAAAAAAAAAATGCAGATTAAAAAAAAACAGTAGTAAAAGTTTACAGTATTACACTGCTACAGAAATGAGTGCTTAGCCTAGTGGTTAAGATGTTAGTTAACCCATATTGGAGTTCGTGGGTTCGACACTCAGCTTGGCCTCCGGATTACTACAGACCTTGGGAGGCAGCAGTGATGACTCAACTAATAGGGTTCTTGCCTTCCATATAGGAGACTCAGGTTGGCTACTCTCCATCTCAGTCCTGACTGGTGCAGGCATTTGGGGAATGAATCAGTGGATAGGAGCTCTCCCTGTCTTTCAAATACATTAAACAATAAATCCTGCTATATATTAAGACAAGAATAACACTAGTATATATTCATTCACTAATCCTGACTATGAATATGACTAAGAAAATATAATGAGGTTCACAACTTGGTAACACAGTTAACTAAGTCGAATTATTCTATTTTTTGAACAATGTTTTACCTTTAATACATATAAATAAAATTTCAAGGATACTTCAAAAACTTCATGAGCAATGAAATTGAAATAAGCTTATTTTGGTGTACACAATTTGAAATCCACACATATGAGGGTTTCTCAAAAAAGATCATGGGAAATGTGTACTATGAAAAAACTATGCTTGGATTTCAATTTTTTCTTGCATCAAACTTATCTTTTAATTCCATGATTCCACATACTCTGTGAAATACCCTGGTATAACAGGACTTACTGAAGAATAACTTTTGGTATTAAGTCATTTTATTTTAGTATCAGACCAGCAAATAACCTACAAATCCAGAAAATTAGCATTGGACTAAAAGGCATTTACTAGTGCCATCTCCAACCTCTCTATTCAGTTACATAGATTACTATGCTTAAAAAAATGCCTGCTTCTCCCTCGTATAAGTTAAACAGACCTTAGAGGTACGAGGCAAGCATATTAAGTTCCTTTTACCTTTGTTTCTTCTTTTTCCTTTTAGATCTTGGGCACAAATTGTTATTTACTTTCTTGGATAAAAACAGTCAAGAAATATTTTTAATTTTTCAGGTGATAGTCTAACTACTTATTTCCACTAGGTTGGGCAAGAACAAAAAGCGAGTCAGGTGTTAAAATTTATCATTGAAAAACTATAAAAATATGGTATTAATGTGGTCAGAAACACTCAGCTCTAGTCAATATTTTAACTAAAATGAGGTGATGACCAATTTTCCAACAAGCTTTTATTTTTTTCTCTCCGTAAGACAGCAAGTCATTCTTAGACTTTTAAAATCCTAAGCGACAGAAAAAAGACTCAAGCAAAATAACTATTAAAAAAAGGGGGGGGGGGCAACACCTTGGCTTGCAGTGCCAAAATCTTATGTGGGCAGTGGTTCAAGTTTCAGCTGCTCCACTTCCAATCCAGCTCCCAGCTAATGCGCCTGGGAAAGCAGCTGAGGATGGCCCAACTCCTTGGGCCCTGCACCCAAATGGGAGACCCGGAGGAAGCTCCTGGCTCCGATTGGCCGTTGTAGCCATTTGGGTGGAATCAGTGAGTGGAAGACCTCTCTCTCTAACTCTGCCTTTCAAATAAATTAAATGAATCTTCAAAAATAGTTCTCCCATGCTGTGGCGCAGCTGGTAAAGCAACCGCCTGCAGTGCTGGCATCCCATATGGGCACTGGTTTGAGTCCCGGCTGCTCTACTTCTGGTCCAGCTCTCTGCTATGGTCTGGGAAAGCAGTAGAAGATGGCCCAAGTCCTTGGGCCCCTGCAGCCGAATGGGAGACCCCGAGGCAGCTCCTGGGTCCTGGCTTTGGAGTGGTGCAGCTCTGGCTGTTGCGACCAATTGGGTAGTGAACCAGCAGATGGAAGACCTCTCTCTCTCTCTCTCTCTGCCTCTCCTTCCTCTGTGTAATTCTGACTTTCAAAGAAATAATAAATCTTAAAAAAAAAAACCTCTTAGGCAAAAGCATAAAATGGCAATATACAACATATTCCTTGAGTCTTCTTTTTAAACATATGAGGATTTAATAGGTTATTTTGGTTCAAAAATTTTGAAATCCATGCAGAGTTTTTTCCTAATACGCATTTTCATGAACTTCTTTGAATTCACGCTGTTTAATGATTGAAAAATCAGTTACTAAGTTTTCTGAAAGTTTTAACTATCTGTAGATGGGAGTAAGAGCTTCCATTATTTAACACCTGATTGGGAATCCAGAATGTTATCTACATGAGAGGGAGATTAAGGTGAGGGACAGCTATTTAAAAGAATGCTGAAAACCAAAAAGCCTCCCCCAAAACCCCCAAAAAGTTAGTCAAAAAAATTTTTTAAAAGTCAAAACAACTACATATACTGTCATGTAGTATAGGCCCTAAAAGGCTGTGGAACCATAGCCAAATTAAAACACCATATGTTTAATTAAAAATCTTGCAAAAAAGAATGGCGTATTTAATGAAACAATAAGATTCTCACTGCTATTACTACATTGATGATCTTCAAGTTAATCACACTGTAGATAAGTGGCTATTAAATAGACCATTGCTTACGAAAGAGATGGGCAGGAATATTTACAAACACAAACACGTGTAAAAGAAACACTTTGATAGCTACAAAAAGCCTGAAATACAAATAAACATGTAATAATAAAAATAACACAGATCCCACAAGTAATACAAGCTTAATGAACTGAGAGCAGCACTACAACTGGTTTGGGTCGCATAAATGGAAATGTAATGTAGAACCATAACTATTAGCAAAACTCCAACTAAAGAATTGTCTAAATCTATTATGATTTTCAAGTAACAGTAAGCATTTCCCTATTCCTTTTACAAAATGTGCCTTCTTCTAGAATGCAAAGATTAATTTGAGATGACTTATGGACTGTCCTATACAAATATACATTACATACAAATTAAAAACAAATATATTCATAACTTGAGAATCTCGGGCACTAAGATGTTAAGATGAGACACACTTCCCAAAGAATCTACTTAACAACTTGATGATAATGCAGCATCATTACAATACATAAGAACCAAACAGCCCACATTAAAAGAAAATGAAAATAAAAATTAAAAAAAAAAAAGGCAAAAAGCAGCAAAGCAAAGCTGGCGCTAATTTTTGGTCAAGATAATTTGTCTTGGTTCCCAGATAATGTTTTTGAAAAGCAACCAGAAATGTTATTAAGCGCATTCTTAAATTAAACCTTCCATCTTTAAAAAGCACCAGTCAAGTAGGTAGATCCGTTTATTCCTACCCTGTTGATATTTTAAACTTTGAATACTGGGTAATTCCTAAGTTAAGGAAAAAGCCATTGGTTCAATCCCCTTACCCCTCCTCCAAAACAACAAGCCAGGCGGCAGCAGCAGCAACACCTCCTCCCCAGCTTTTCTCCTTAAAGAACCGAACACACAGTTCAACAACTTTTGCAGTTCTCCTTGTTCTGACCTGTCCACTGCACCTCTACCTGGGACCAGAACCGGCCCTGGACAAGACTGTGAGGTCGCTACCTCCAGGAGACTCACAAGTAGCGTTTCCGGGCCAGGCCTGGCAGCAGGATGGCCCCCCAGTTCTCAGACTCTTCTCCCAGCATTTAACAACCTGCTCAGTTCAAGTGTGAAGCACAAGGGCCCGGAATGCTGGGCCCGAAAGGGCAAAGCCAGGGCCTAGACCGCTGCACGGTCCCTGAGGCGTCTCGCGTGGAAGGGAGGAGGCAGGAGGCAGCGAGAACCGGAGGCCCGCGGTCAGGAGCGTCCGTGTAAACCAAGGAGGCGCCTGGACTCGGAACGCAATGCCTGGGACCCCCTTAGCAGCCTCCCTGACCCTCTCTTGCCCCCGTGCTGGAGAAGCAGGGCCCAGGCCCGGTGCGGGAAGGGGGAGGAGGTAAACCCGTCCTGTCACTACACCGGGACAAGCTGGAAGGGGCACATGCTCCACAGGGAAAGGCCGCGGCCACCACAGCCCCGGCCCGGAAAGCCAGACACCATCTCCAGTCCCAGCATTCCGTCCCCTGCGCCTCACCAGGTCGTAGTCCTCCTCATCATCGCACATGAAATCATCCTCCATGTCAGACATCTTGGCCGGGTGGGGGGAGGGGGAGGAGAAATTGGAGACAACCTCCTCCCACAATCCTCCGCGGCTCAGCGCGTCACTCCCAGCTTCTCTTTGCCTTCCCGTGGCTCTTAGAGGAGCTGCGTTTCCTCCCGGAACCAATGTGCTCAGCACCGAGAGGATTAGCTACGACGCCAAAAGGAGGCACACGACCCGGCTCTTCCTGCGAGACGGTTGGTGCCTTAGCAACTAAACATAGCAACTGGGGAATCGGAACCTTGCGCGCCGGTCGAGCAGTTTCCAGCCTCCAGCGTGAGGGAACAGTTCTCTTTTGCCTGCGAGTCTGGAACTATCTCATTCTGGTCAAAGAAAGAGCCAGTCTAGGACCAGAAGCCTTTCGCGGGTAAAAGGCAGAGAATGACCGTGCTGTATGACAGGTTGTATTATTTTTGCCACCGTTATCTACATGCATTTGGTCCACACGTTGCGGTGGATGTTTTGTGATGGTTGGCGACCCTTTCAGCAACACAGTTTACACGCAATGTTGGTTATATTTGTAGTCGGGGAAACAATTAAGTGGATATCTCAAATTAGGTATACTCGTATGTCAATCAGTTGAGGCGCCTTAAATCTTATTGAGTTATAAACTGACCTTTACTGCCTTGACGAAATTAAGGTAATAGTTAACGACCTATTTTTAAAAGTTGCATTGTTCTTGCACAAAGCCATGAGCAGAAAAAAGAGAAAATATAAGAGGAAAAACTGTTTATCAGACAGGTAGCTTTTTCCATATCAACGTCCGGTTTTGTTCCTTTCAGTCTATAAACATAGTTGTGGCCCAAATGTAATTTTGGATTCTGTTTACACCAATTTTGTAGAGGCAGGGGCCGATATATTCTTGACAATTACTGTTTCAATGGTTATGTAATAATCCCTCCTTTGCATGTAGCAGCATGCTCTAATTTATCCATTATTACTGTACATCCAGAATGTTGCAAAAATAGCACTATTTGAAACAATTCTTAAGTGAATATCTTTGACATTTTATTTTTTCTTAGAAAAAATATCCAAGAAAAGGAATTACAGTCGGGTTTTTTAATACTCACTGGATGTTGAGTCATAATTCTTATAAGAGCAGTAAGGCAAAGCTAGGAACCTGCAGCTCAATTCAGGCCTCCCACTTAGGTGGAAGGGGCCCAAGTACTTGAACCCTGGCCTGCTGCCTGTCAGAGTGTGCATTAGCAGGGGTTGAATTGGAAGTGCAGTGGAGACTGAAACTCAGGCACTCTGATAAGGGATGCGGGAGTCAGGTGGTGACTTTATGCTGCCCCAAATACCTACCCTCGCATAGATGGGGCATAGATGGCGCCACAAGTAACATGGTGCCATTTTACTAACACATACTGATTCCATGTGTAAAACTGTGTGATGATTCACATTGAATTTATTTACATAATTTTCTTTTTAAATTGGAATTCCTTACTCCTGTAATGAGGAAAGGATCATGCAAGTAAATTGGCGACTAGGAACACGAGGAAAATGGATGCTGAGTTTTGAGCATAATTTCCTTGGCCATAGCCAAATTTATTAAGCCCAATTTGGAAATTTGTTAAAAGCAAATGAAAAGGCCTTCACAGTCCTTAGCATGCTATTTGGGTACATAGGTATTAGTAAATGCTTATTGAATAAACATGTGAATGAATTAATATTTTTGTACAGGGAATGTGGAGAAATCTTTCCTGTCCTTAGGAGTCCATTTAAATGTTATCTCATTTACAGAGCCTCTCCTGAATACTTTGAGTAGTTAAGATATTTTTTTTTACTTTTGTTGACATCAAGTTTATTCAATCATAAATAATTGAAGAATTTTTGTTTATTTGAAAGGCAGAGTTACACACATGCACATACACACACACAGAGAAATATCTTCCATCTCCCCAAATGGCTGCAACAACTGGTGCTGGGCCAGGCTGAAGCCAGGAGCCTAGAACATGGGTGCAGGGGCCCAAGGACTTGGGCCACCTTCTGCTGCATTCCCAAGCTCATTAGCAGGGAGCTGCATTGGAAGTGGAGCAGCTGAGACTTGAAGTCCATATGGAATTCTGGCATCAAAGCAAGTGAGGACTTTTTTTTTTTTAAAGCATTATTGGAGTATAATTTAGCAGCTTTATTGAGGTACATTAAGCTGCACATATTTAAAGTGTACAATTTGGTTAGTTTGGCTATGTATACACCTGTGAAACCATGAGCATACCAAGATATATTTGTCACTGCAGGAGTTTGTCCATAGATTACTTGACAATTTATCTCCTCCCCCACTTCACTTAAGCAACCACTGATCTGCTTTTTGTCACTATAGATTGGATTACATTTTCAGGAATTTTATATTAATGGAATCAGATGACTCATTTACTTAGTAAAATTATTTTGAGATTTATCTGTTGCTCCATGGGCCAATTGGTTGTTTCTTTTTATTGCTGAGTGATCCATTGTATGGATCAACCACAGTTTATCTTATCCATTTACCTTTTGGTGATGTTTGAGTTTTTTCAGTTTGTGGCTAATATAAATAAAGCTGCTAAGAATATTTGTGTCCAAGTTTTTGTGTGGACAGAGGTTTCATTTGTCTTCAGTTATGTGCCAGACAGACTATAAGGTGGCTGCCTCAGTATCTGTGCCTTTGGATAAGTCTTTGCACCTTGAGCGTAGGTAAGATCTGTGACTTGCTTCTGTCCAATAAGATACAGCAGCAAAGGTGATGTGCATGATTATGTGTACATGATTACGTTACACAGGTTGTTACATCTATTCTGTTAGGAGAGATTTTCTCTTTGTTGGCAAGTGTCCATGTAGCGGGACCCATGTGGCAGAGAGCTGAGGATAGTGCTGGGCCAACAGCCAGGATGAAACTGTGGCCTTCAGACTGACAATACACAAGGAACTGAATCCTTCTCTACTTGAACTTCAGTTAAGACTGTGAGTCCATAAAGTAGAGGACCTATCTAAGCCATATCCTGCCTCCTGAGCCACAGAAATTGTGCAATAGTAAATGTGTATTACTTTATACACCTAAGTTTGTAGTAACATTGTAATACAGCAATAGATACTAATATGGGTAAATACCAAGTAGTGAAACGGTTGCATTATATGATAGGTATGTGTTTCAATTTTTAAGCAACCCTCAAATTGTTTTTTTTTTTAAGATTTTATTTATTTATTTATTTATTTGAAAGTCAGAGTTGCAGAGAGAGAGAAGTTGAGGTGGAGAGAGAGAGAGAGAGAGGTCTTCCATCCGCTGGTTCACTCCCCAGTTGGTCGTGACAGCTGATCCAAAGCCAGGAGCCAGGAGCTTCTTCTGAGTCTCCCATGTGGCTGCAGGAGCCCAAGGACTTGGGCCATCTTCTACTGCTTTCCCAGACCATAGCAGAGAGCTGGCTCGGAAGTGGAGCAGCCGGGTCTTGAACTAGCGCCCATATGGGATGCTGGCACTACGGGCGGCTGCTTTACCTGCTACGCCACATTTGCCAGCCCCCCAATTTTTTTCTTAAGTGATCTTACCTTTTTGTGTATTTGCCAACAATGTATAGTAATTCTGGTTGCCTCATAGCATTGCCAACATTTAGTGTCATCAATCTTTTTAATGTTAGCCACTCCCACTCTAGAAGGAGTGTAGTAGTATCTTCTCATGCTTTTAATTTTTATTTCTTTAATGATTTTTTAAAACATTTATTTATTTTAAAGGCAGAGTTACAGAGAGGCAGAGGTAGAGAGAGAAAGAGAGGGAGAGAGAGAGGTCTTCCATCCACTGGTTCACTCCCCAAGTGGCTGCAGTGACCAGAGCTGCTCCTATTCGAAGCCAGGAGACAGGAGCTTTCTCTGGCTTCTCAGGTGGATGCAGGGGCCCAAGGACTTGAGCGTTCTTCTACTGCTTTCCCAGGCCACAGTAGAGAGCTGGATCGGAAGTGGAGCAGCTGGGACTCGAACCAGCACCCCTATAAAGATGCCAGTGCTGCAAGGTGGAGGCTTTACCCACTGTGCCACAGTGCTGGCCCAGGTCATGAAATATTCAGAGGGTTTAACTGAAAAGAGCTTAATGAAGGGACTATTTATATTTACATTGATGGAAGCAGGCTTAAGGAAAAAATTAGGAGGTAAAAATTCTAACAGCAGGCTGGGAATCATTATCACACCTTGAAGGCTTGAAAGGGAAAAGGAAAGAAATGGTTTTACCAGAGCCTAGAAAAAGGAGGGAGGCATGGAAGATAAAGCTTCCCAACAGCATCTGTGATTGTAGAAAAACACAATGACTGCCACAACCCCCTGTCAAAGGTGTGGTAGGAGGTTGGGGAAACACATATGTCGGCCTCAGTTCTCTTATACCCTTCTAGTACTTCCCTGAGCAACCCCAGCCAGCCCCAGTAGCACAGAGAAGGGTGGAAAATGGATCCAGAGGTCATACAGGGGTTAAATAGCACAAGATTATCTCGTATAATTCATCTATAGCATAAATTGTATACTTCACCAAGGAAAGGAATTTTCTGTTTTCCAAAGGCAAATTGGTGACTTTTGTTTTTGGAGCATAGCCCTTGATCTTATGACCCTACTAACTGACTTAGCAAAATGTTATTTCTGCCTACTGTTAACACTCACTCCTTCCTGCGAGGAGTTCTATTTGCAGGATCTCACTACATTTCCACTTCAAGCTTGATGTCCTTACCTGGTTAGTTCTCCATTTAGTCTGTCATGGTTTCTTTAGAGTAGATAAAATGGTGCAGGTAAATGAATGGTGTTTGCAAAGTACTCAGTAAATGGATCATAACTCAACTACTCATACTAAGACCTCAGAATGCTCTGCACTGCAGTTAACACCTTTCATCTCTAAAATTGCCATAGAAGTAATGAGCAAATAGAGATAACTAATAATTGAAGGAGTCTGGAATACCCCACCCCCAAATATGTCACTTTGACATAAGGATTATTTTGAGCTGAAGTCAGTTGAGAACTAACAGCTGCAGAAAAGTTCTTTGCTCTCTCATTATCTGCCTAAAAACATGATATAAAGCTTCCTTTGTAAAGATAGCATAAATATGCCCCCTCTCCTACACCAGGATGCAAAGAGCCAGCACAAATCCTTGCTGTTAACCATGCCAAATCCTTGCTGTTAACTCTCCCTATGTATTGCTCTTTACTTCTCCACAATTTGTTTCTCTTTATTTATTAAACTTCTGAGCACTTCTTTGACATTTCATTTCTTTTCAGTGAAGCCCTCATTTACACAGAATTAAAAAGGTCAAAATTTATATGCTTTTTCTCCTGTTAATCTATTATTTGTCAATTTAACTTGTAGACTCTGGCCATTAAATTTAAGAGAAATTTTTTCTCTTCTATAACATAATAGTAGTT